TAATTTTATTGTTATATTGTAAAATGTATTGTAAATTGTACCTGTATATATAAGTAATATTTTAAAATATGTAAGCTAATAACCTTAGTTGTTGAGGCTTTAAAGTAATAAAAAAAAAAATATATATATCAAAAACAATTGCTTTCCTAACAAAATGGCATATGAGTTTAAACAAAAAATTTAGAACGTAAACAAATAATCTTCCATCTCACAAATTATACCAACTATAATAAATTAACTACAATATCGGTACATTGTACGATTACACCATTTTTAACTTGCCTGATGATTTATGTGACAGTCATTGGAAATATATCTATTGCTACAATTCCTAACACTTATTGATTGATCAGCAGCTATATTTGGTGAATTACTCCATAAATTAGCATTGGCAAATCTTTAAAAAATAAATGTATTAACATTTCATAATAGTTCATAAATTAATAATACTAAATACTTTTGAGCTAAATCAGGAACAGAACTACTAGGAGTATATTTTCCTTCATGACCAATCAACATTGATGGAGATGGTGTATTTTTCACATTACCAAATTTTTGAGCTGAACCACTTGGTTGGTTTGTATTCTAAAAATGTTTTAATTAAATGGAGCTTCGTTTAAAAATCAAATAATTCTTACATTCAAATTTGGGGATTCCGAAACATTTGTCCGGCTGTGGTTATTTTTTCTAAAAGGTTCTGTAGTCCATACATTTATAACTAAAAATAAAACATTTAATTCATCAATAGGTATTCCAGATTAAAGTAAAACATTAAAATAAATACATTTTTTAGAATCTTAACACATAACTTATATTATCTTAATATTATTAACTATAATTAAATACTTAAATTGTAGTGCAATAAATTAGTATTATAGCTATTATATTTTTTTTGGTACTAGTAAAATTTTTAATATAAGCAAAAAATAATTGATTCAACCGTTAAGATTTTTATCATATCAACAAAAACTTTATTAGATGTTCAATTATTGTGCGGGCGGCCTTGTGACTAGCATTTATAAAATGAAAGATATTCTCCAAACGAAACAAATAATAATAATGTTTAATAATTCAATTTGTAACATGCAACATGTACATGACAAGATAAAAAGTTAAATAAATTAAATTTAAAAATGATCATAACTAACACAAATTGCATACCTATTACCTAGTAAACATGGTTTGGTAAATAAAATCATACAAAATCGATTAAAAGAAATTCTCACAATGACCACTAGCAAAAACAGATGTAACATTGTAACCAATGATGGGTTAAACTTTATACTTAATAATATTTTATGTAACTAAATTAAAAGAATTAATTCTACCACATTGAGAATTATTTCGATATTTATTTCTAATACAGATAAGAAATAATAAAATAACATCAATATTATACTAATATTCAATATTCATAAACAATGAATATTATATTAAAACATATTTTAATTATATAATGTTTTTTTTTACTTTGTGAACTTACTTGGTATTTCTGGAGGCTTGTCTTTTTTAACATATTTTCCTACCACTCCTTCTTTGATAGTTCTTGTATCTTTATTTTTTCTCGACAACATCTTAAATAGGTTAAGTTTGTTCTAAATTCCTAGATTTTTTTGAAATAATTTAATGGAAATTATCACTATATATACATTGTTTAATGTTCATGACCTAAGTTATAGTTTGTTATTGGTTTAAAAAAAAAAAAAATTCTTAATTTATATGATATGAGTTGAATAGGTACTCACAGGCAGGGGCAGACTGGCCTGGAAGCTAAATGGCCCGTTTACCTAAAGTATGGATAGAAAAAATAATAATATAGAGTAATGAAAGAGTTTATTTATCTATATACGAAGACGAAATSGAATTTAATTGATTATTTCTTTAWTATTTTGATATTTTAAATTATGATAAAGCCATTATTATAATTATATCTAAAGCTAAAATAGTTTATTCTTTGTAAGTTGCTATATTTATTTTAATTTCATTAGAAGATATTATGATTATTATTTTGGTTTGTGTATTTTTATTTCAGTTTTATAGTTTTGTTAATAGTTTTATCTGTAAAATACATACACTATAATATTATTTATTATTTTATTACCTATTTGTTGTTTGCCTGCCTATATACGTATATATTTACATACAAAATTAAATAAAATACAATTTTTAACCAGGAGATGAAAACTTTGAGTAGCCTGGAGGAACTTAATTTTCCTGGCCTGAATTTTTTTCCCACTCCGCCCCTGCTCACAGGGCTACAAAATATTTACAGGTAAAAAAACTTACACGTTTGTATTAAAATACGTAACAGAATACCTACTTAAAATTATATTTATACACAAAAAGTATTAAATTTGTAGTTATTTTAATATAATGTAGTGGTTGATAAACATTAAACTATTCAATTTAAATTACATATTTGAAAATTATAAAAATAATGTAAGATGTAAATACTAATTTCATAATAGTAACAGATTGAAGACTACAGTCAAAGGTAATTGAATTATAAATAATAATTTTTAATTAAAAAATAAAACTCTTATCACTTATAATTAACCTAAAAATCATGATTAAAGATAGAATTGATATAGATTATAGAATATACCCTGTCGGCTGTCGGCAGCTGCTGAGCAGGCTGTCGGCAGCTGCTGAGCAGGCTGTCAACAATATGCCGGTTTTAAAGCAAATCGCGCATCCACCCACCGCCCAGCCGATTACTGTGACGTAGAATTTCGCTGTTTCTCATTGGTTTGTTGGTGACTCTGCTACACTAGCCGTCACTACCACTTGTTGATAGTTTACTTATATATATATATATATATAATATGAATATGATAGGTATACAGATGTAACAGATAGAACTAACTTTTAGAATAACTTTTGTTCAAATTAATATTTTGTATTTATTTATTTATTTATTTTTTTTTTTGTTCATTAAGTGACTAGCACTAAATGTATAATACGTTTTTTTATGTTTATTTTTAGTACTGAAAAAATCTAAATTTAATAAAAATAATATTGGATAAATTCAAAAATTCAAAATAATCTAATTATGAATCTGATTATAAAAACAATTTCTATGGTAAAAGGATTTATCTAAGTCAGGTAGTTTATTTTTTTAAATTTGTTTAAAGTTCAATATTCTTTTGGTTAAATTAATTTGGAACGCAATAATTTTTTAAAAAATATATGATTTTTGAGAATTTTGCTGACATGAGTATTTTTCTTAATTTATTTACTTCTCATATAATACTATCAATTTTTGTCATACGATGAATTAGCGTAATTAATTTTTATTTTTTTGGCCCGGACTCCGGACTTTCTGTTGCATTCTGTTTACCTATTGCATTGCCAACCATGTCACCATCAGTGGCGTGGCGAACATCTTTCAAA